TCCCTCCATCCCTCCATCCCTCCATCCCTCCATCCCTCCATCCCTCCATCCCTCCATCCCTCCTCCCTCCCTCCCTCATTTCAACGGTGTCCTGTGAGGTGGGTGGTGAACAGCGTGAAACGGACGCCGAGCGTGCAGTGGCCTTGGCGCGCGGCAAGGCCACGGCCAGTGTTATTGGGATCCCAGCGATGGGTCAACGTTCCTAGGCAAACGACGAACGGCGTGTGAAAGGTGTGAATCGTTCCTGGCGGAATCTTTTGCAGAGGGTCAAGCCAAGTCGCCCAAACGTGCCAAGTCGCCAATGGTATTTCTTTTTTTGCCCGCTCCCTCCCCCTCTCTGGAGGAGAAGCTCTCGCACAAATGATTTGGTTCCAAGATTTTTGGGGAAACTTAAGAAACAAACAGGCTGTGCAAACTCGCTGTGGAAGGGGGGGGCATGTGGCAGTGGCACATGCAGATTTGGGCCAGGAGCTGTATGGAGCAGTGCATAACAGGAGCTCATGGAGGTAGATGTCATTGCTTTCACCACCAGTTTCCCGACAAAAAGCTGATGCAAGTGAATTCGGAAGACATTTCCGATGCAGGGGACACTAGTAGCACTACAGAGTGTACCGTAATACCAAAAAGGTCTATGGCCCTTCTCATCTTCAAGCTCTGTGGCCCTGGCTCTCCTAAACGAACATCCCTGGCCCTGCCCTGGGGCCCTGGCTCGGAAGTGGTGTTGTGCACCTTGATGTCTTCGTTCGACTTGCCGTAGTAAGGCTTCAATGTGCTGATGACTATCCAGGTGCCCTTGCGCCAGGTGCGGTGTGAGAGAGAGGAATCTCACCATGGTCGAAAGGCGGTTTTGGGTCGAAGGTGGTTTTGGAATTGTCAAACCAGGGCAAAGAATCCATGATCATCCATGTACCAGGACCATCCTCTCGGGGTGTCCTGGCTGAGATACCCCACACTACCTAGTTGGGCTTCCAGACAGGGCACCCCGACAGGATGGTCCAGGTACAAAATATATGGAATATTTACTTACCGGGGTCGGAGCTTTCATGGCAGGAGCCCGGGCCTTCCAAATCCATCCAAATCCTATGTGTTTCTGGGCGTTCCTATTTGCTCCGAACGTAACCAGAAGCTACGAACGGGGCTCCTGGCATTGCTACGAACGGAGCGATCGGACGCTACGAACGGGGCTCCTGGAATTACTACTAGGGGCAAGGACGCTACTAGTTAAAAAAAGAAGACACGGAACAGGTCGGTGTTCGACGACATGAGAAAGTGAATCTGGTGGGTGTGTGGAGCTCACTGGACGGGATCCCGGGATCCAGTCAAGCGGAGAATGAGATCTCGCTGGCATGGTTTTTCAACGTGTTTCTTGGCCTCACATGCCAACGAGAATTGATTTAAAACATGGATCGGTTTTTATCAACTTGTTTTGATGAACTCCCATCCTTCATGATCTGAAATGACCCAACATCTCTCCAGCTTGCACCCTCACCCAGAAGTGTTCAACTCATGAACAACTGCCAGCAATTTCCAATGTTTGAACCAGAAATGGTGAACAAACTCCAAACCTATGAAGTGTTTAGATGTTTTGAGGCTATCACTTCACAGATCTTCGCTGAAAAAGCCAACGTCCGAGGTGATGCCCCCACTCAGTTGCATACTGGTCAAATCAATGACCCCTACTATCCCTGCTCAGGGCAACCTCCGGGGCTTTTGCTTGGCTCATCAACCCTGATGGTTCCTTCCCACTTCAATGAAGAACCGCTGCAAGCACCGGTATCTGTACGGAGCCGCTCTCTCTCTCTCTCTCTCTCTCTCTCTACGGCGAGAGCGTTGTCGGTTGGTCGAACGGCCTCCGTGTGGCGTTCGCCGAACGCGTGCAAGGCGCCGAAGCGAGTCACAGGAGGCCTCAGCAGCGTCAGCTGGAATGGAACGGGCGAGCTGGTGGTGACGACGGTGTCGCAGTATGAACTGGGGGAGACCTGGTTGTGCTGAAAGGCGATTCTTACTTCCTTGTGGGTACAGTACAGTAAATCCTGCAAATCCCCTTCTATTTGATACGTATTAATACGTCAATTATTTTTTCCGGGTTCCTGAAGCCAAGGACACGCTGAATCAGTGCAAGATGCTCTGCAGCAAGCTGCTCGGTTTCTTTCGGATATCTCTTTCCAGCTTTGAGTTCCCGTTCCACTGCCTAAACTAGTTGCCTAAACTATAAATCCGACGGTTTTCATCCATGGACATGTTGCGATACATTCCCGTTTAAACGGATTTCATTCTCGTTTAGCACAGCTGCCCCACGCTCTCGCACAGCGTGCGAAACGAGGTCCGCTTACCAGATGCTCTCGTACAAGTTCCATGGCCGCGCTCGCAGCCGCAGCGGTCACGCACGCGGCCGCGGCGGGAAGAGCAGTGCGGCGCGGGTGTCGCGGGGCAGCGAGGTGGACATTTGGCCCGGCTTGACAGTGGCTTGGAGTTGAGTGGGATGAGGTCGTTTTGGTGATCGAGGATGGCCATTTGGGTTGTTTGCGGATGGGGTACGAGGTTCAACAGATGCCGGAGTTGTGCTCGGTTCCTGATGCTTCCATGTATTCTGAGAGTGGAGGCTTGGGGCTGCTAGTTAGTTTGAAGACCTCTGTGGATGCTAACAGTTCCAGCTGGTCATACGGCACATGAGCTGAGCGGTCTATTTATCACAAGGTATAGCGCAACACCTCTGATTCCTCATTTGTTTGAACCCTTGATGACACCACCACGTTTCCAAATTCGTAATTGATTGAATTGACATAGCTGCTATGCTTTCGCACTTCCAACGAGCTTTACTACCGTCGTTCGGCTACGCCCTCAGTTACCGTGCACTTGTGTTCCATGTTCTCGCTGTATCGTGTTCCTGCATTGGGGACCAACCAAGTTGTGCCTGAGCCCCCAAAGTGCCCTAGACAATTGGACATGAACGTATAAGCGCCAGGTAATTATACTTGTACCCATTTTCTGATGCTCTTTGAGACTCCAGGTGTAGTTATTGTAAAGGCAAACACATTCTTACATACATGCATATTGCAAGTCTGCACAAAAATCAATGCCTGTCTCGTGTAGACCGTTGACCTCAATCCACATAAAAGAACATCGCTTTTTTCTAGACGCATAACATCAATGTTGCACGCGGAACTTCCGCCATCCCAGGTCCAGTCACCCCAGCGCCACCCGGCGGAGCATGTCACCGTGACCGTGCAGCTCTATCACGTCGTGGTGGGCGGCGTGCCCAGCGAGGAGGACGTGACTGCAGCGATCGACGATTTGGAGAACTTGTACCGGGCGTGCGTGGAGCCTTGGCGGGAGGACGTTGCAGCGGCCGCAGGGGGTTGCAAGACCTTTCTTTGTTTTAGATCAGGGTCCATGATAGCGACAGTCTGCAGCGGGGTAGATTCGTGGGAATTTCCATCAGAACATGTTTTTGCAAGAGAGGTCAGGAGGCACTGTAGAGAGAGCAAGACATGTGAAAGGCCTTTTTCTTTAGCCCAGGAATGTCCCATCTCTTGAAACCCAATCCGTCTGCGACACTCCCCTGTAGTGGGAATGTCCAAAGGGCCACCGTTCTTGGAGTCTTTGCAACTCACCAGTCTCGGCACTGCCAGGGCTCTTTGCACTTGCCAAATAGGCGCGTCACAGGCGCGTCACAGGAGGCTTCGAAAGAAAGATGTCCAGCCTCTCCCGACCCCCTTGCCGCCTTTTTTCGGGGGGTGTCGCAGAAACAGCGTGGTTTTTTGGAGATCATTTTTGGAGATCTCCCCCGCGAAGAACGTTGGGATTTTTGAGTGCCCTGATCAACCATCCATAATTTGTGGCAGCAGGCTCCACTGGAGAGTTTCCAGTTTTTTCATGTGTTTGGTATTCGAGTCATTCAGGGAGGAATATGATTTGGAAGTGTTCAAACATTCAACAGGACATGGTCATACTATACTTTTGGAGGTTTGCCCCTGTAGTCCAGGCTGTATCCAGGTTTTGGAACGTTGGAATGTCAGCTGCGTTTCGAGATTGCATCTCAAAAATAAATCCAGAAAAGCCCTCCAACATGAACAGACAAAATGCTGAACACAGGTGTTTGTCTCACGGGGTGATTCAAAACAGTTGCAGTGTCACCAGTTCAAAGCCGTCATGGGGTGTTGGGGCGCCAAGGAAGATGGCAAGCTTGCTGATGGTAAGTTCGATTTCCTGAAGAAGCCTTTGTCCTTGGATGACCTCGCAGACATTCCCAAGAAGGCGCCTTCTGAACAAAGAGGAAGATGAGGAAGATGAACGACCGCCTTAACACCATCTTCTTGCTGAGCACTGATGGGAAAAACTCTACAGCACCTGATCCAAAAAGAACCACCATGGACCATGGCCCATGAGACATGTCGTTGTTCCCACGGACTCCACCGATCCACCTCCCCTCTCGCACCCGTGCCGGTGGCAGGTCTGGTCGCAACCGCCGGAGGTCATGGACTTCGACGTCTTCCCGGTCTGAGCGGATGCGACGTCTGAGGGCCCGAAGCGCCGAAGCGAGTCCTCGTCGGCAGGCCGGGCAGCTCAGAGGAGGGGGGGGAGCTGGGGCAAAACCTCCAGAGTTCACGGTGTGTGGTGTGGGACGATTGAGGACTGAAGAAGATGGACATCGTAACGAACGCACTGGCACTTTGTGAGAGCCCTACCTGGCCCTACCTGTAGAACATCCTTTTGAACATGCTGCCAGGCGGAAAAAAGAACAACATGTGCTTGATCGTTTTTGTAGTTGCTGGCCCTCTGGTCCCTGGTAGCTTTCAATTCTTGGGCGATGGTTGTTCCAGGAAGGGATTTCCCCTGGATGCCATGCAGGATTGGCCCATCGGCGGCGGTACGTCATCTTAGGTCTACTCTTAGGTCAACTCTTAGGTCTATCCAGCTATGCACTGTAGTGTGCAACAAGCTGAAGCTATCTGTGACACCCGAAGACTTCGCAGACTCGCAGTGACACCCCGAAGACTCGAAGCTCAGCCGTCGTGAGGGAACACCAAACGGGAGTTCCCGAGACGTTCGGTACTTCCAGCAGGGGACTGGACATGAAAAGGACATGAAAAGACCATGGTCATCCATGGTCCACATTCCTGTATTTATGATAGTGAGGATGAAAAGGAAGGGTTCGCCTTTTGCATCCGACCTGTCAGATGGATAAACATATGTCATATGTTTCTTGTGTTAAAGAGGGTGTCAGAGAGAGGGATTCAAACCCGAAGCGATCTGCGCCCAACCACTTCCAGGCTGCAGACTGCGTCGACACCCTCGAACCCGCTGCGCCGGTACTCGCGCGCGCGGTTGGTCGCCTTGTACAGTTTGGGGCAGACTAAACGCGGCGCATGTAGTCCGATGGAGAAAAGAGGATTGTCAAGTCCGATGGTGAAGGCTTAGACCACCAAGTTGCGTGATCTTCGGCCCCTGGAAAGTAAGTTGATGGGGTGGAAGATGGTGGAAGGAAGCATTTTGATGCATTTCATGAGCTTTGCATTGGATTCTTTTGATGGTCTTTGGATTTGGACTTGTCTTTTCACATGAGACATCAGGAACCCTGTGGGCTTCAGCACTTTCTTTTCTGCGGCGTCCAGCATAATCAAAAACGGGAAACTTGAACGAGCAGCCTGTCAATTTAGACCACCCAACCACTCATAGACCCTCACATTGCAGACACACTCAAGCACACAGGGTGTCAAACCATTGGTTCTGCGACCCCCAATCAGTTTTTGAATTCTTTCGGCGCAATCATGTAGACTCTTGATTGGTTAAAGCTACCTCCCATATATGGTTTTATATTACATGTTTTGGGGGGGTTATGAATCAATATTATATACACATCGAGACCCTCCAACTGTATCTAAGACTTTCTCTTGGACTCCAAAACTGGGATGTTGATTAATTATCCAATAGTTGAATAGTTGATGTTCAAAAATATCGATTTCCTTCTTCCTTCTGCCACCCCCTTCTCAGCAGGGTGGATCTTCACTTGACATTGGTACAATGATGTCATTGTAGCTCAAGTACTGGCAAGATGACAAGTGAAGGATGTTGATGTCCCTCATTGGGTCTAAACAAGCCAAGTAGCCCCTTGGATGTGTTCTTTCATGTTTCTTCACATCCGTAGGATAGGCAACAGTTGCTTGAAAAGGATCAGGATGTTCATCAAATGTTCTACCGCCGAAATCCGGATAAGACTGTGAGTCACTGAGTCGATAATGATGGAATTGGCATAAATCCAAGCACATGCAAGAATCAACAAAGCCATGTCACTCCCGGGATAAGATTCTACTGATTGCTGCGGCGGGACCAGTTCCGACCCGGGCATCGCTTGGTAGTGGGCTCATTTAAAAGGGAGCCTGTGGCAATGAACAAGAACAATGCATGCAACATGTAAACTTGAACTGAAGATTGAAACATCATCAGGATGTCAGCACCTCTGCGAAGCATCCTCCTCCATCTATGCTTCGGGCCACTTGCCCAACAATCCTGACTGAAGTCCGGTAGTCATCCAGCAGGTCTTCCTCATGGCAGCGCCTGCGGAAGCAAAGAGGCAGCCAAGCTGGAGCATCAGAAAACCATCACCAGCTGCACTGACTCCTTCTTAATCAGCTTCAAATCACAGGATCATTTCCGGGGAGTCTGGACAAAGTGCTTAGTGGATTCATGTCTGATATAAATCAATCATCATGAGCCAGGGACTGTGCTAAGGGGAAAAGGATACCAAAAAATATCTGGTGTTTTGAAGGTAAACATTGTTCTAAGGAGGGTCGACCGTCGCACCCTGCTAGAACACTCACTGCAAGGATTCAGTGCAGCTGGTGATGGTTTTCTGATGCTCCATCTTGGCTGCCTCTTTGCTTCCGCAGGCGCTGCCATGAGGAAGAAGCTACCAGACTTCAGTCAGGATTGTTGGGCAAGTGGCCTACAGGAGTGATGAAATCCAGATGACTGTTAAATTCAAACTCCCACAACCTGCACCTTTAACTCAGCCAACTTCCAAGGGATGCTGGACTTGCCGGATACTGACCCACAAGTGTAGTCAGAACTAGTTCCAGTAGAATCTTATCCCGGGAGTGACATGGCTTTGTTGATTCTTGCATGTGCTTGGATTTATGCCAATTCCATCATTATCGACTCAGTGACTCACAGTCCTATCCGGATTTCGGCGGTAGAACCTTTGATGAGCATCCTGATCCTTTTCAAGCAACTGTTGCCTACCCTACGGATGTGAAAACATGAAAGAACACATCCAAGGGGCTACTTGGCTTGTTTAGACCCAGGGACATCAACATCCTTCACTTGTAACTTGCCAGTACTTGAGATACAATGACATCATTGTACCAATGTCAAGTGAAGATCCACCCTGCTGAGAAGGGGGTGGCAGAAGGAAGAAGGTAAGTTCAAAGGGAAATCGATAATATTTTTTGAACATCAACTATTCAACTATTGGATAAACATCCCAGAAGAAGTGGGTCACGTGGAATTTTTTCCTCGGCTGCTCACTGTAGAACACCCTGATCTTCGAGCTTACAGTGGCTTAAGGCTTACAGGTCTTTACACTCCGTGAAATCAGCATGCTTACGTGGATGGTGCCTAGAAAATGGGCCCAGAAAATGGTCCATCATGGATCATGCCCATCATCATGGCCCAGAAAATGGCCACAGTTCGCAGTTCTTGTTTTTTTTCCCGTTTGGAGCCTTCACGGAGTCACGGGCGACCTCACTTGCCCCGATGCCTCCGCAGGGCTGGGAGGTCTTCGCCGTGCGCTGCGGAGGTGTTCGGACCCCCGGCGACGGGTGACGGGTTTTGCGGATTGGAGTGATATGGAGGTTTGGCGGATTGATGTTCCTATATCTGAGTGAATCCAGGGTGAATCCCCCGAAACTGGCGGCCAGATGTTGACTTTGTCCCGGTTGGACAGCGATTTTCTCAGCTGGGGGTGTGTGAAGACTTGGCCAAAGAGGCTAGCAAACCTACCAATGGATCCAGCAAACCAAGCTTCGAAGACCTTCAAGACACTGCCTCACTAAAAGGAAAGGCAGGTCATGTCAATCATCCTCGGGGGCAACTGAAACAGATCCCTTGGAATTCATCCTGGGCCGGAACTAGGCAGCTTCCGGGAACCAGGGGCTTTATAAGGTTTGGCTCTTTTCGTGAGGGAAGACAGACTTCGCATCAACTAGCAAAAGCCAACTCTATGGCAAGAACCCTCGTACACGGATACGACGGATATTATAAACGTAAAAAAGTACTTGGGGTCTTGTTTGGTGATGAGCTTATCTGCGATTCATGTCTAGTCAGAGGGACCCCGTAGCGGGACAAGCAAGAAACAGTAGTTGGACATGAGGCTCTGAGGATGGTGATTTATGAATGAATGCCAATCAAGGACGACTGGAACATGAGTTTCCTCCACAAAGGAGATCTGCAGACAAGTGGAATCAAGTGGACATGTTCCTGCAAAGGGACAGGGACTTTTGATGCCCTACGCCTCTGCAAGAATCCTTGGAGAGGCTATTACCCGCCATCTTCACACTGATCTTGTAAGGCTTTGAGGAGAACAAGAACAGTTAATATAAGTTCCACAGTGCTACAGTATGGTTCCGACTAATTACAAAGGGACGCAAGCGTGGAATTTCAATCAGGACACCAGTCCTCCACCGCGGTTTGCCATCAACTCAAGTCATATACCTGCAGTACCTAATGGGGTATGAGAGATCAAGTTTAGGATCCGACGATCACTCCATCCCATCCTGTCGCCCTGCCATCCATCTGTCCCACTTGCCCAGCCCATCCTGTTCCGCCGTATACTTGCAAAGGGACCACCCCAAAACCCTCCTATTCACCCGCCTTCACCTACCGAGGTTCGTGTCAGGACTATGGCTAATCTGGTGTAGTTCCTGGTGTTCGATGCTGTCCCCAAGCACTTTCCCCCTAGGTCTGTGCCTCTGCTGCGGACGCCGACCGCTGGTACCGCTTCAACGGTTTCCAAGCTGCAGAAAAGTAAACGTTGGAGGTCGGGTGTGTGAAGTGGGAAATTGGTGGAGAGGACATCTCAAAAAGTTGAAGCGCTTGTTTTCCGATTCCATTTTCATCACTGATAGGATTATAAATTGTAAATAATTAGGGTGTATGTAGATCTAGGGTATTCTAGGGTTTAGATCTCGTGTTTCAAGCTTTTCTAGTGTTCCTCGTGTGTTTTCATCTGGCGCGGGGCCTTGACATTGACATTATGGCCAGGATCATCGAACAAACATCCAGGGCTGGACCGGGCCTCCTCGGCTCCTGAAGTCGAGGGGGTTCGCCGTTGGAACGGTGGACCAAGTGATGTAAGATCTATTCGAAGCTCATTTGGAAGAGCGGCTCCGATGGGTTCACAGCCGCGGCAGAGCTCCAAGCAGCTGATTTTCACGGTCAATCAACCATGTTGTTCGGCCGTTTGTAGAAGATCCCATGGACAAGTGTGGATGCAATATATATATATTTCTTTTTTTGTGCCCAGAGGTGTCTCAGACAGGCACTGATGCCAGTGTCAGGCTTTAACGCAGATCATCCTGTGACCTCAAGGCCTTTGTCGTTCGAAAAGGTCTAAGATCCTGGTGTAGGAGATGAAGGGAAGGCCACAGGAAGTGAAGCCAGGGAATCCATGCGTGGTAAACAAATCCATGGGAGTCACATCATTCGGCCATGGAGATCCAAATCCCATGGCCGCGTAGATCAGATCCCATCCACTGCAGCGACTTCGCTTCAGACTTCGCTTTCGCTGAGGCGCCTCCACGACCTGCGAGAAGGGCCGCGGCGGGCTCATGGCCAATAGCGTGAAACGACCCAGTCGCAAGGGGGTCGTTCGGTGGGTCACGGGCGGCTGCGGCTGCGGCCGTGCGTTTCGGAAGCGATTCAGGTGTTCGGATGGATGTTCTTCACCTGAGTTGTTCCCCTGGCCCCGCCCAAAAAGGTGAAGAACAAGTTCATCATGAAAAGGAAGAGAGAAAAGGGCCGGCAGTTGGGATTTTCTTCCCAACGACCTCTATCAGATTCCAGGAAGGCAGGCGACCGATTTGCCAAAACTGTTTTTGAATTCTCCCACTTGCAAAAGGAACGGAGGGGCCGCCGCCACGGGGGTTTACCTCAATTATATATTGACGTTTTGCATTTACACGGTGAGAAATGGGTGGTGGTTCATTCAAGTACACATCCAAAAGACAATTTTAGTTGAATTTTAGTGAACAAAAACCCTTTGCAGGCTCAGCCTTCGTTTGTGTCAACCCAGACAAGACACGTGGCCTTCGAAACAGCCTCAACTGCAGGGCTCATTTTCAGCTTCCACCTTTCACTGCGAGCCTTCTTTACATGTCACAGCCGTAT